AAAAGTACATTACAAGTGTAACACTGTGATGGTATTCATAATGTAACAGTAATGTTGGCTAGCACCATGAATTTGTACATAACAATGTAATATAACATTACAGAAAAGTTAGCATACACCATAAAGTTGTTCATAACAAAGTAATATAACACTAGTAAGGCCAACATTGGCAAGTGAATGAAATATGTCTTCCCCAGTGAACCTTATTTCAAGAAGTCCTCAGAATACAGTAGGTTTCAAGAGAGTGATATTCAAGGGAAGTGGGCACAGCATATATACTTCTGAGGTCTGTACACTTATGTCAAAATAATGAAGGCTTATTGTACTTAATATTGTATATAGTAGTAGTATTTAATATATATAATATTAAGAAGAATAAGAATACGTTGAATAATATGAGTGTTGTTGGGCTTGGATTCTTCTAAAGTAGGTGTCTGTGACTTGTTGGCGATAAATTCAAAAATAAACAAACAGCACTCACTCCACTTGTTTTCAAAGTAATATATATATATTAGAACTAGTTAAACGTATGTACAACAAATTCTTTACACTATATAAATCATAGGCATATCATAAACACTATATAGTACTCTTATTCTTGTCAAAAGCCCACTTAGGCCTATTCAATTGCTTTAGAATTTCAGTTGACAGGCCGAACTATCTGAGTATTGTTCACTTACTTTATTGTCAAGTTACCATAGTTGTTTGTATCCTGTACTTCTAAAATTGTCTGCTCTCTTTTTTCTCTCTTTGTATTTCTGAGAATAGTCTGTCTATTTGTCAAAGTCCACTAAGGCTGGTTCAATTACTTTAGGACTGGCTTTGATGGAATAAACTATTCTTCTTGTCTCTTTTAAACTGTTAGTTTACCTCTAACATATTAATTGTTAGGCCATTCACTCCTACAGCAGTTAACTTTGTTTAACTTTCCTTGGCCGAACTTCTACTTCCTGTAACTTTGCTTTCTCATATGCTCTGTCTGTCTTCTGTTTCTGCTCGTCTCACGCTATTTATATATTTATCACTTAATCGTCTGCTCATCTTCTAGAAATCTCTATATCAATAAATTTCATGCAACATTCAATAGCCTCAACATCAATGAATTGTAAACACAACTTCCAGTAATCGTCTACTTTTAATTCTCTTATTATGAAAAAAACTAAATTACCAAATATTAACTCACAAAATAATTAATTAATACTACCTTCACTAAACTTGAGACTTTTTTTGTGAGAAAGATGTTTTGAAGTTATCTTAATAAATAAAGGACAATCAGTTTTTTTTTCATTAATATATTTATTGACAGTGATAAAATATTTACACGTACTTTTTGGCAAATAAAGCCTATTGTTTGATACTGTATATGCAATTTCATGAATTGTCTGAATGAAAACACTATTAGTAACTGCCCTTTATAATGGTTGAGTATGCAGTGTTTCTAGTTGCAGTTTTTTCTTTTATCTTTGACTGCTGTAAAATCACAAGAAAGACATGAATCTCTTACCTGCTTGGTTCAGTCAGTGAGAGTTATCGTAAAGTATCTTTGTGCAGTGTCATCTTATGTCATCAAGCTATGTGAATATTAGGCCTTGGGGAAAAAAAATGCACCAAGACAGGTGTTTTAAGAAAATGGAACCTCCCCTAAGGGCCAAATTGCATCATAATTAAATGCATTATAGATTAAAACCCGTAGTTGTTTTTCTACAGTTTTTCTTAAAATTTCAGAGGTGAAAGCTGTGTACCTTCAGTACGGTATAAGTCCAAAATATATTTTGAAATATTAGCAGTTGCTAGTAAATGTGGTTTACAATTTTGTAATGCATTTAATATTATGCAGATTTTGTTTTATTTCAGCGCACTTCAAATAAAAGCATTAGTATTTGTAAATTTTGGAATGGACAAAGAAAGTCACCAAAAAATGTGAAAAATGTTACATAAATGAATGTAAAAGAGGACTACTATTTGTTAAATGAAGCCTTCTGATTAGCATAACATTAAAAAAAAAGTCAACTAACTTATTGTTTTGGTAAAAATAGTGAAATCTGCATGTGGTGTTTTTCAAAGCAAAACAAAGACAAGATTTACAGTTATAGAATAGAAACATTATTGGGAACTTTACATGAAAAGGGAAAAGTTTTTACTTGTTTCTTAAAAGATAATTCATAAAGAAATATTTTTTTTTCAATTCCTAAAGCTGAGAATGCATATAAATACTACATATTAAAATAAGTTATTTTTAAAGAACTACTTAATCTGTAGAAAGTTCACCTAAAGTTTCAAATAATTTTATTCAATAATTATTTTGTTTGAAACTCACTAACAACAAACCACATGACAGATGTGTTGACTAAACTTCCCTGAGCATTTCAGAGTTGAGGTGCCTAATTCTGGATTTGTGTTGTATCATACAAGCACCCATTTCGTATATTAGGGCTGTTCTTGCACACCCACTCATAAAAGTCATCCTTTATCCCCCTTCCACCTTAAACTCCTATAAAATGCTGGTGACCACTACTGTCCACAGCAACTCATAAGTCAGTCACCCTGTTAAATAATAAAAACTATTTTAACCAGAGCCTAGCCCGTCTTTTCCAGATCTGAAACTTGTGTCCATTTATCTCGGAAATATAGAATATTGTCACTGGATCTTATTACCTGCAAACTGTTGAGGAGCTGCGTGTGCTGTTGACACAGTTAATTCACATTTTTTTCAATAACAGTATCACCTGTCGAATATTCCTTTCTCATAAAGGATAAAAACATTAGAAAGAAAAACTTCAATCAAGAATCATGTAAAAAAAGTAAAAAAACTGATGCTAATTTACAAGATTAATCTTTTCAATTTACAGAAACCTTTTTGTGGTAATGTTATACTATATTACCTGTCTAGAGAGAATATATGGGTTAGAATTAGTTAGAAATACGTAGTAAAGTAAATAAAGGTAAAAGTATGTAACAAGTAGAAAGATACCTTTTTTTATCTTTCTTTCATCTCAAGGTTATATATTTTTAAATGTGAATATTTCACATTTACAGAATGAAACATTTTGCAAGAGACAGTATTTATATATTGAAATTGATAATGTTGAATGAACTAATGTTGAAATAAACAGTTGCTGGTAAATGTGGTTTGTAGTGTATTCAACTGAAACCAAATTGTTTTTAATTTCAGAAGTTAAAACAATTACTTATACATAATCTTGTATAGATTAATATGGTAGTGACTTTATATGTAACTAACCACCTACAGACTGAAATGTTAGCATCTTTAAGTATTCTCAACCGTGTTCAGATTAACCCTGTCACTATGGGTTTTCTTGTGGTCAGGGGTCAAAAGGCATGTCATCACATTTGTAGACTTGCATTCAGAATTTTATTGAACTACTATTTTATGAATGTCTGTCAATAAGTTTGGTATCAGATTGTAGATTATAATTCTAATTTTAGTATTATACATTAGTTAATTTCTTAATTTAGAAGTAAGTATTAAAAAAAAATCCTAAATATCAATTTGTGTCATATGGTATGATGAATGCAGCTTTTTTCAAAATTAAATGTTTGTGATGTGCAAATACAAAGTCTATTCTTTTTTTTATGAATTAGAAACTCAAATTACTAATATTGACAAGCTAGAATATAAAATAAGAACCACCTATCTTTTCTGTTTGCTGGGATGTCACTGTTTAGCGAATCAAACACAGTGGCCCCACCCACTTCTTCCATTTTTGGAAATTCTTGCTTACAGTCCCCACTTTGATATATCATGTGTTTATAACCAATCAAAAACTCAGAATTTCCCCCACATGGTTATCGCAGCCTCTTAAAGGTGGGTATTTCCCAAGATTATTTCTTTAACCTCCAATCTCAGAAGAAAGGGGTAAGTAAAAATGTTGTTCAAAAAACTATTTTTTAGACCCAAATACAGTTTAGTTAGTAAGCCTGATAAGTTACAGTGGAATTCTGCAATATTGGTAGAGTAATTTTTAACTTTTTATTATTTCAAAATGCATATATAAAACCTAAAAATTATTTTGTTTTACATCTTCCACTTGTGAAATTCAACAAGGCTTAGCATGCAAGGTACAGTGAGTACAAACTTCTTTACAATCGTAAGTAGTAGTAGAGATTTTTTCTATATTTCTATATTTACTGTTCAATGTTTTAAGAAATATAATTGAAACTAAAGAACTTATTTGTAAATAGTAATAATATATATACATATGTAATGTATTATATCTGAAATGTGACTGTATTTTACAAAACACTGATCCACTAGAACAAAGCCAACTCAGTTCCCTTTGTAAAGGTCAGTTTTATATTCTTGGATACGGTAACATGAGTGCACATGCACTGCATCATTGTAACTTCTGTAATGCTAGTCAGACACTGTTGAAAGGTCAATATAATACAAATAATGAATATATATAGATGTATAATGTTATGGGATTTAAGCTATTTATATGAAACATTTGTGATTTTGTGTTAATAATTTGTAGTCAGTCTAGAATGAAAAAAAGCATAATTTATATTTATTTCCTAATTTTTATGGTGGTTACGAGGTCGGTCAAATCAACCAAACCCATACAGAGATACAATAGTGAAAATAACAGATAAAATTTAGTTTTTTCTACAAAAAAGGTGTTATATAATTTTCTGGAGGGTATAAAGATATCACATGTGAAATTTAACAATTTTCCTCTGCATAAAATAACTTTTAATTTTAAGCTCAAAATTACTTTGCATGTTGGAAAGTCAAGAGTTGAAAAGAAAAAATGCACAAGCAAATCATTACTTAAAAAATCTTAAAACTTAATAAAAAAAATCAGATATTTTGTATACAAAAGCCTTTTAATGTTTACTGATAATCTGCAAAATTTTGTGAAGGTATGCGTACTGTATTAAAAGTTATAGTGTGAAAACTATAACAAGCACAAAATGGTTATAAGGTTGGTCCATAATGAAAAATGTTAACATATTTACATATACTTAACTATGTACAGATCAAGAAGTTAACGTCCTAGATGAGTTGTTGGAGAATGCAGATGATGATGATTTGACAGCAGAGTTAAATGATGAAGAGAGAAATTCAGGTATATTTATTTAATGAGTGTGTTTTTTGTAATAAAGTGATTATTTAATTCTTGAAAGCTGTTGATTTTGGTGGGTTTTAAATTTTATGTAAATTATTAAACTTTCCCAGATTTGTTAAGCAACAATGAATTCCTTGTTTCCTTTTATTGACAAAGATTTCACATTTATATGACTAGACCAAAATAGATGTTTTGTTAAAATATGAAAACCACTGGTAAAATGAAAAATATCACAGAAATCCAAAGTAAACAAAAAATAGGTTTAAAAATGTTCAGGTATAAAAAGTCTTTGAAAAGCTCATAGCTTGCAACATTATAATTGGTAAGCTGCTGGAATCCACTTTCAGAAATCATTTGATCAAACACCTTGAGTCAAGTTTAAGTTTGTTTAAACTTTCTCAGCATGACTTGAGAAAAGGGTGTTCTTGTTTTACAGTTTTTTTGTGGGGTTCTTGCTTAGCTAGATTAGCTGGTAATGTTGTGTATCTAGAGTTCCAGAAGGCTTCTCATAGTAGGTTGATTAGTAAAAGGTGGATTAAAAATTAGTTTGAAGATAGAAACTGAGGATTGTGATAAGTGGTTACAATTCTGATTAAGAAGATGTGATGTGATTAGTCCTGAAATATCTGTATTGGGCCTATTGTTGTTTAATCTTTCAGTGATATAGCAAACTGTGTATACTGTATTATATTTTTGCCATACTAATTATATTGTGGAAAGTTAATATTCCCTTAAGACTTGGTTGGTGATGAAGGGTGCTTGTAAAAAAATATATTTTTTCTTTTTCGGATTCTTACTGGAATAATCACTGTGAAAACACGTTAAAATTTTTTTATTTGCATATTCAGAGAGTAAGAAGCTGTGTACTTCTGCTAAACCTGTGAAACACACAAGAAAACCTCCAAGTAAAACTCCATCAAAAGCTCCACCTAAGTCAACTACAGACTCGGGGTTACGCTCCAGGTCACAGAGAACAGCCCAGCCAGTTGTTAGAAAAGCTACTGTAAGTTCTCAGGCCACACAACAAACCAAGGTAACTGAGAAACAGTTGCCTACCACATCTGTTGCCAAGACAACCAAACTTGCTTCCGTGCCCCTGCAGGTGGATAAGGTATTACTTAATTGTTTAAAAAATGTTATTAAAGTTTATTATATGAGATTATCCTGCATGTATTTGTCATATAAGTCATTGGTTAATTTTTTATTTTTTCATTATGCATCTGTACATATCAACTGCATCGTTTTATACTTTAACCCATCCTTAATTTCTACACGGCTCTCAGTATACTAGTAGAAATTGTTGTTTATATTCTCAAAACATTTGATTTAATACTTGAGAAGGTCAGAATTATGCATGTTGTGTATAAAAATGATTTTGTTTGATATATAATGTTACGTATGGGCCAAGCATGAATCAGTGATTATCTTGCCAGACTAAGCTTCTGTGGATCCATTATTCACATCTCATTACTACAAGAAACAAATGGTGGTCTGTATTTTTGGTGCATTATTTGGTCAGACAAGAGTAGCCCAGGAGTTGATCGTGGGAGCTGTTGGCTAGCTATTTACCCTCTAGTCTTATTAAATCAAATTTTTTTAGGGATGGCTGTTGCAGATTAGTCTGGAATAGCTTTGCACCAATATCCAAAAACAAAAAAGTAAGTTTTGGCATATTGACAAAAACATTAGGTTATACAAAATATAACAAGAAGTATTAGTCTGTCAAAGAAATTAGAAATGTATGGAAAATGTATAAAATTGGAAAAACTAATTTTAATTGAAAAATTTTTTAAATGTTTTAAAGATGAAAATATTAATTATAATAGACGAAAGCATAACACCTAATTTAACTTTCAAGCCTTTTCCTCTTGGCTGTGTTTTTAAGCATTTATTGCAAAGCACCTTTTAAGTGTTTTAAGTTGTGATTGCTCTGCTGAAGTTGTAATTTACAGGTCTATTGGTTAGTGGTGGAACTCCCTTTCATGGTTCACTTTCACATTCCAATCAGAAGACTATGAACACTTATAGGAAGAATGCCATTCCAGACCATTCCACACCAATTTAACCCCTACTACTGATGTGTTACTACATTCTGATATATTTAACTTTCATTATATATATATTACAATCTAACTTTTTAAAATTTGTTAGCTATTATTACTGTTTTCTGTTAGCAATTTGTTATACGTAGCCGTTCTGTTTATTGTGCAATGTATCATACTCTGACAAGTTTTAAGTAGCTATATGTTGTACTGAAAGGGTTAACTGTAGCTTTTACAAGCTCAAAATGTTGTCCAATGAAAGTTTTTTTAGATGATGATACTCCATTTATTTATTTGTAGGGGGTCAGTCATGGCCTAGTGGCTAGTGTACCTGGACTGTGGATTTGATGGTTTACAGCCTGTTGTTGCACATTGAGGCCATAGTTATAATGTAAGATTGATGGTCAAATCCAACTGTTCCATTAAACTAGAATAACCCAAGAGTCAATAGTGGTTGCTGTTGACTATATGCCTTCCCTCTAGTGTATCAGTTCATAACCAGGGAAGGCTAAGGCAGATAGTGTTTTGTGTGAAAATTCTGAAACGAATTTATTCTAGAATTTTTAAACACATATTTGTTCTTTTTTTTTAAACCAGTACAACTGCATTGCTCTCTAATTGGTTAAAAGTAAACCACATATTGTAACTTTCCTGCAGGTGGCTGCATTATTGTTGGTTTACAGTGCACTTGTTGCTCTTAAATTTGGTGCGAAACCCAAGTAGTGAGTGTGAATCATTGTGTATCAAACAGCTGGTTGTGAACGTCAGTGTTGGCTAAGTCTTTTTAATGTTCAAATTGCTGTATAGTCCACACATCTTTAATACATCATTAATAACTTAATACTGCAGGTGTGTGACAGTTTCAGTACAATACAAGTTTTCATAAACATATAAGTTAATGCATGCAGAAGCTTTATTCTGGCACATAATCATTCACTGTCCATAAGTATTTAAAGCTTATTTGCTTAAGTGTGTGTGTGTATATATAGTACATACATAAAAGACTGTAGTATTTCTGGTTTGACCAGGCATGTTTACATGTTCTCTAAGCAGATGATGGAAAACTGGGTTATTTAATGGTAGTAATTTCTGTTGTGTGCAATCATTTCTCATCTGTGTTTCTGTTCTATAGACCTTTAAAGAAACTGAAATTTCCATTACGGTGTATTACATCTGCTCACATCTATAGCTATTCTCGTTCGGTGCTGCTCTCTATATACAAAAATGTTTTTGTATGCCAAAAGCGTGGCTCTCCTATGTACCCCACGATTATTGTTGTTCAACTGTGTCTTGCATGCAAATCATCATGTGACACACCCTCCTAATGTATGTGACTCCCTTTATTCAAGTCTACCGATCTATCACTTCTCGTTAGGCAGTGCTGTAGACATGTTTTGATAGTGCTCTCATCACGTGTTTTTCCTTTTATTTTCTCCTACGAAGTGGAAAGGCTGTTTATATCTTTTACTACTGTTTAATTTTTTAAAGTTTTCAAGGATAACTTACCTTGGTTGTTCTTATTTTTTATATGAACAATTTTCTAATTTTCATCATTTTAGGATGAATATCGAAGTTACTGTTACCACTTTGGAGGTTCTACCACCTGCTATAAGCACAATTACACAGGCTTCAGGTAGGAGGAACTTGAATGTGGAATTTTTGGCCTTAAGATTGAACATTATTTGAGTTGACCTTCTTTCGCTAATAGTGCTCAACTTCCTGCTGAACCTGTTTGTGATGATGAGGATTTTGACAACCTTTTTCCTCTCTCCTGATTATGCTGTGCCTTCCCAGGCCTCTCCTAAGGAATCTGCTAGGCCTACTTCAGCTTTTTTAGACATAGTTTCTCAGGCTTTTTCCATTTGATACATTTCCCTGATTTCATACACTCCTGTTCCTTCCTTATTACATGACACCCCTTCCTCCCACTATTTTGTTTTCTCTTCTTCTCCTGTTGTCGAAGTTCATGTTGAGCATTTTGTTTCTCAGCTGCGAGCTGATGCTAGCATGCCTCACCCTCCATGGGCCACGAATTAGTTTGCTTCAGCTTACCATCAGGCAAATTACCCCCTTTCTTGATTCTCAGCCATTAGTATCACTGATCCCAGTATGGGGGCTGACTTTGACAATCCTGTCTGTTTATCCTGGGCCTAGTTTTCCTGCCTTCATCTTACCCTTATGACTCTCCAATGCTACTTGCCCATCATTTATCTTCTTTCTGAGACACTCCACTGATCTCCTGAGGGATTTTTGGGGGATACCTTTTCCCTCCTTACCTCTACTTTGGCGCAGTTGCCCTCCTCAGCTCTATCTCTACACATGTGGTTTCTTTGCTGTTGGGATCTTCTGAGGAGTGACACTGTCTTGTTCCATGTTTGTTTACCATCCACTTACCTTCAGGACTTGTAGGTGGCTACTTTTCTCCAACAGTCTGTTTTGGGGAATATTCCTGATACTTTGGAATCAAGTATGGAATGTATGAGGCAACATTTGACGCTTTCGTCCTTGGTAGCTTGTTTGTCTTATTCTGGGCCCTTGTAATCCCCTGTTTCTGTTCCTCTCACTGGAGTTTCCACATTTCATCATGTTTATCGAAGCAGGTCTCATTGTTGCCAACATTACCATGACTATCCTGTGGTTTCCATTCCATTGATTCTCATTTAACCGATTTTGTTCCCTTCTGACTTGAATTTGCTACCAATCATTATGTTCTTCAGGACTTGTCATCCAATTCCTGTCCCCACCCCAGTTGTCTCTCTTTCCTATATCCTTTCCTTTACCTTGGGATCCTGGTATCAGTCAGCATCTGTCAGAGATTGTACAGACTCTTCTATCACACAGAGATAATGAACCTGCCATCCATTCTTCCCCAGGCTTTGACTCCAAACTGTTTATGGTTCCCAAGAAAACCGGGGACTGGCACCCTGTGATCAATATGTCTCGCCTCAATCAATTTCTGGATCTTCCCCATTTTACAGTGGAGCCCCTTCTCATTCTAAGGTGGGCTTTCTCACTGGGATTGTGGATGACCAAGATAGACATCTCAAATGCCTATTTACACATTCCCATTTCTCCTTGGTGCCGATGCTATCTTTAGTTTGTCCATCAAACTTTGGATCTTAATTTTTTTTTTTTTTGGTCAACACACTTGGGATAAGTCTCCTGGCATGTCATGTTCTGGGTGCTTTCAACCTTGTGGTGGATTGTCTTTCCAGATCTGACAAAATTTATCCCACATAGTGGTACCTCAATCCTCAGGTTTTCTGGTGGCTTTGCTCACAGTGGAGTACTCCTCCGCTCGATGCATTTGCACATTCCTCAGTTTTAAGTTACCTCTTTTTTTTATCTCCGGTTCCTCATCCAAAAGCCCTAGCTGTCTCTGCATTCAGCCAGGATTGGACAGACTTTATTCTCCCATCCATCATCTTCCCTGGGTGATATCAATCATCTGTGTCAGGTTCTTCTGTTTGCTCCTTACTGGATGGCACAACCCTGGTTTTCTTGACTACTTCAACTCCATACTGCCACTTTTCACTAGTAGGTTAATAGTCCACATACAGCAATGTGCAAGTTTAAGATCCATATCAATTTTTAGCACAAGAAATAAGCTGAATGAGTGAAATGAACTCGAAATTAGGGGCAGTTTAAAATACTCACAAGAGCAGACAGAGAACAGAAACTGCATATAAAGGAAAAAGTCTGTTGATTGTTAACTCCAGTTGAAATTGAATAAGCAAAATGGTACTGTTCATTTATTAGTAAATTTAAACATGTTAATGGTGCCATAACTGATTTTTTGTATGTTTCTGTAATTTTTGCTACATTCATAAAAATAATATTGCTTTTCTTAATAAACTACAAATTCATATTTAGACAAGGAGAACAGTGAGCAGAAAGCCATCAGCTGGTACTCAGAAACAAGTACCATCTTCACAGAAGCCAAATATAGCATCCCAAGCCAAGATTCCCAAACCTTCTGTAACTGGAGCTGCTAAATCTACAACAAAAGTTCCACAAAAACAGAGTACGATACCTTTATGTAATAATGCTATTTGAGTAGTATTTGTTTTAGTTTTGTGTACAAGATGATGCATTACCTAAAATAGAACCTGGAGATATAAGGTGTTGTACTAGTTGTCAAGTTAAATTGTCCTTAAAACACTTCAGATTGCATTCTGTACATGTCAAAATCCTAGGCTATAGGTCATTTTTGCAGTTTTTAACCAAATTCCATGGAAAAATGTAAGACTTGTGGCCCTTATAAGAGTGTTTACATTACATTTTGCTCTGATAGTCATGTTAGAAGCTTGCACTGTAAGTTGTTGCCTTTGTACATGTATTGACTTTATGTTTCACTCTGATAATGTTGTTTAGATTGAAACAATAATCTGTGTTGGACTAGTTTTTGATAGAACTTGCTAGTTTGCAATAAAAACATTTTAATAGTTGGATCTTACTGTACTTTAATATTTTAGTATTCCTAGGTAGGAAGTTAAACTTTAATATATCGGATACATTTAAGTATAAGTTTGAGCTGTTTTCTACCTTACTAAGACTGTTTTTCAAATTTGTCATGTCGATACAAAACTTAAATTACAAGCATAAAAATATGCAAGATGACAGCTCATTTCTACAAGATAAATATTGGCACACACCACCAGACAGACTGTTCCACAAATTGACTATTGGCACACACCACACCATTAGACAAGCTGTTCCACAAGTTAACTGTGATGGTGTGGTGTGTGCCAAGACAAGCTGTTCCATAAGTTGACTATTGGCACACACAACTCCATCAGACAACCTGATTCATAAGTTGACTATTGGCACACACAACACCATCAGACAACCTGATCCATAAGTTGACTATTGGCACACACACCATCAGACAAGCTGTTCCACAAGTTGACTGTTGACACACACACCATCAGACAAGCTGTTCCACAAGTTGACTGTTGACACACCACACCATCAGGCAAGCTGTTCCACAAGTTGACTGTTGGCACACACACCATCAAGCAAATTCTATTTGCTCAGTTTAACCCTGTGCAAATTTCCTAGGATTTTACCATTTGTTCAGTCTAACTCTGAACAAAATTTTATTAGATTATGTTGTTTGTTCAATTTAACCTTGTGCTTATTTTATTGGATTAGGTTGTTTGTTCATTTTAACACTGAGCTTAGTTTATTGGATTATACTGTTTGTTCATTTTAACACTGAGCTTAGTTTATTGGATTATACTGTTTGTTCATTTTAACACTGAGCTTAGTTTATTGGATTATACTGTTTGTTTATTTTAATTTTGTGCTTATTTTCTTGGAAATTATTTTGGACAAGTAAATTAAAGAGACAAATTGATTTGATCAATGTTTCTTGTGGATTAACTTTCAGTTGCTCAACCAGTAAGAAAAGTAGTCTCTACAGTCAAGAAGTCACCCGTAGCAACAAAAACTTCTATACCTGCAGCAAAGACTGTAATTAAACCTTCCACAACAACTTCAAAGAAACCTGTTGTAAAGAACGTGGAGAAAAAGATCACAGTTCCAGTGAAACAGGAGATTAGAATTGTGAAGGAAAAGGAAACAAAAAATACTACTAAACCACAAGAGAATGAAAAAAGTAAAAAGCTTTTTTACCATTCAGTAAATATCTAATATTTAAAGTTATAATTTGATGAGTTTGTGTGTTGAATAAGTTTGTTACTGTTTTTAATTATATAGGTATTCATATTATGTGGAAAATACAGATAACAATAAGCACTTGATACTCTTCTGTCATGTACTGATAATAAGTATAAACCTGTAGATTGAGATTTCTTACTTTTGTATGTTCATTCATTCTGACAGATTCCGATACAGTACATTACCTACGCTCACATAAATAGCTATTCTTGTTCAGTGTTGCCCTCCATATGCAAAAAAAAAATTATGCATGCCACAAGCCTTCTATCTCCCCTCCATTGGAATTGACTGTTTCCAGTTTATCTCTTGTGCGTCAACCCTCAACCAATAAGAGTGCAACATACTCTAATGATGCATGTGGCTCCCTCTTTTCAATTCTACCAAATTATCACTTCTCATTTGGCAGTACTCGTGATCAGACATTTTTTCTTTTGGTACTCTTGTGTGACTCGTGATTTTAATAGCTAAATTTCTGAAGTGGGATTTCTTCTTCTTTTTTTTTCCCTTTACATTGAAGAAATCTTTTAATTTAATTTCCCAGTCTTTATATATTTGTTTCACACGCTTATTTTACATTAAACACTTTTGTTTGATTCATGTATTTCTACAATGAATCCTGAGATTCATGTTCCCACTTTGGGTGTTATACCTCTAGCACTATTTTCACAGGTTGCAAGTGGGGGAGACCCATCATTGGATTTCTCTGCTATTATCCATTGTGAGATTGATTGTTATATGTTTCAAACTTCTTCTCCTGAATATGCCCCACTAATCCTCATGAAAAAACGAACCTGTTTGGGCCAATGAAGATTTTATAGCCTTTTTACACCACTGGATTTTGCCGACTTTGCTATCTTGTGTGTAATCTGTGCATGAACACTTAAGCCTTTCTTCTTTGGTTGCACGTTTGTTACAGTTGGAGCCACGACACGCCCCTATTCCTTTCCCATCCTGGTCCTTATCTACCAGTCCCAGTCCCCCTTACAGAGGTTTCTGATCTTGTCGTTTTATTCAATGTTGATGGGCATGTTGTCAACAGTATCGGAGACTAACCAGAAAGTTCCAGTCCAGTAGGGGCTTTGCTATATTATATTGTTACCCTTTGGCTATCTTTCACTACAGTTCCATTGGTTCATTGGGTTTTATCAGAGGGACTTGTCTTACTATTTCTTTCCCCACTTCCTTTGTTCCTGGTACCCTTTTCCACATTTTATGGATGCATCCCTTCAGGAAATAGGGGGCATGGGTTCATCAAGTAGAAGATTTAGAGTTTTTGGTCTGCAGCCGAGAGGTCTTATCTTATCCACGTCCTGGAGCTTCATGTTTTGCTTCATTCTCTCTATCTAGCTAGACATTGTCTGGTAATGGGCCATTCTGAGTTTTCTTTTGTGTTTGCTAATCTCAATCACCAGGGTGACACCCATTCTGAATCCCTCTTTATTCATATGTTGGATCTTTTGGGGGGGGCACACTTGATATTCCTATCATTGCAGGTCATGTTCTGGGTGCTTTCATACTTGTGGATCGGATTCTTGTCCATACAACATTTTTTCAATCCTTTTGTTTTCCAGTGACTTTGAATTCAGTGAGGTGCTCCTCACATTGAGGTTTTTGTTAAGTCCCTTAACCACAAATTTCGTTGGTTTTGGTCTCTGGTTCCTTTTCTTCTTGCTCTAGCTATCAATGTTTTCAGCCAGGATTAGCACATATTTGTATATCCTCCTGTTCTCCTCCTTCTCTGAGTGATTTCATTCATCCTTGACACTTCGTGTTCAGTCCTTCTGATAACTCTTTCCTGGACATTTCATCTGTGGTTTTTGTGGCTTCTCCAGCTCCAACTTACACCTCCATTACTTTTTTCTCTGTCTCCGTCTCTTTTTTATCACCATCAGTCACTGGTGTTTTATCCAGACCTTCCTGTTCTCCATATTCATGCCTGGGTTTCCTCTGCTCATTGGAGAGGTGATCCGGTTTCTCCCGATGGTTAGCCTCTTTTCTGGTTTGTTTCATTTGCCCTTCCTACATGGAAGTTTCTCAATGCAAATGGAATTTTCCATTATTGGTTTCTGGGTCCAGGGTTTTCCCCTGATCAAGCCACTGTTCTTTGTCATGTGGATTTCCTCTCTTGGCTTTTGGATCGGGGGTCTTCTGTCTCCTCGGTCTCAGATTTTTGGAAGGTTCTGTACCACACTTTATGTTTTTCCCAATCCCGTATATATTTAACTCTCCAACACTTTACATGTGGATGTGTTCCTTCTGGATTTGTCGACTGCCATGGCAGGATGGGGATAAATAATGTGACCCTGCACTGCCTCATTTTGCATACATTCAAACCACTCTCCCAGTGCCTTTTGTTTCACCTTCCCTTATGTCCTCCTCCTTTTTCCTATTCGCCTGTGGATGCTAGTGGTCTGTTTATTTGACATTGATGTTTCACGTACTCTTTATTCTTCTACATATTTTCTCTTTTGTCTAGATCATTTTTCCTCCCTAACAAGTTGGCGGCTCGTGAGAATAACTCCTCTGTTTCCCTTCTGTTTCACACCTTTATTTTTCTCCTGATCTAGATAGACTTATATGTTTTATACGTGCTCTTCTCTGTTATATTGCCTGCATGGCCTCCTTCTGTGGTGTCCATTCCCACCTCTTTCTTCCTTGGCAACCATCCTCCGTTTATGTTCTTTCTCCTTCCTGAACTGGTTTTGGCTCTTCATTCGATTGGCTTCTTCCTCTCTATCATCTTTTTCAATACTTTGTTCCAAGTGTCTTTTTACGCAGTTTGACTCCTTATCTTTTCAGTAGTGTTTCATCTTCATTGTCCTTTGGATGTACTTCTTCAATCAGTCATGTGGACTACCCATGATACATTCATCTCTCACTATTTGCATAGGATCACAGGTTTCTTTTTCCTCAAGTTATTGTGATCCACCTGTAGCCATTCTACGATATCAGTATTCAGTGAGACTTTGACTGAGTAAGTTTAGTTTTTCTTATTTTTCCTTTTCAAGGGCCCTTTTATTAATGCTCATTGTTTGGATTCTGCTCTGTGGCAAGTGGTGCCTGACCAGGTATTCTTTACTTGTTCAAATCTGCACTGTCAAGCCATGTAAACTTGAATATTATAATTCCATAGCCATGCAACACACACTGCAGAGATGGGGTGTTCCATAAAAATTGCTTGTAGGTTTGTTCTCATGATAGAATTGCTTCATAAGTTTGCTCATCCCAGACCATACCCACCCATGGTCTACATGAGTAAAGCAGAAGGGGATAGCTCCTCATCCCTGCCATACCTTATATTGAAGAAATCAGTATGGTCTGCTTTAAAAATAGGGTTTTGTGGTCACCCATTGCACTGTCTCAGGTATTGTCTTTCCTCCAGACTCTCCACCGTGTTTTATTCCACTTTTCTTGTAGTGGAGTTTGAGAGTCCTTACCACATTCCAGTTCTAAGCTGCTGGGGTGGTGGACCATGGAGGGATCCTCCTGTATGGATCATTGAAATACAAACAAAATATAGAAATCATTATAAAAACATTCAATTGAGAGTAGGGTGGTCGTGTTCTGCTGGTGTAGATGACGTGATATTTTCCAATATGAAACATAAACACAACTGGGAGTGAAATGTTGAAATTGCAGTACATCACCTTGACTGGGACTCTCTCAACCTTCCCCCAAGTGTATGTTGGTTCCCAATGTCTGGGTTTTGGAATTAGAGTAGAACCAATCAATATAAGTTCTCACATATGTATTACAGATGTCTATATTCCTCCCTCATTTATACTCCATCAGTTTTGTGGGTCATGGTGGAGGTAATTTGGATTGTTATGGTTCTTTCCCTTCTGCTATACCTCGATGTTTCTCATTCCGAGAATGTTAACCTTGTCAACCCGGGTTCCCTGTACTG